ATGATTAATGATTAATGATTAATGTAGTTATAACAGATTTATCAGAGCTAGCGATGCTAACGGGCTAGCTACCGTCTCTCAGACAGGAAACACGTCACAGCAGGTACCGGTCCAGAGCGCGCGGTTCGGAGCGTACAGGTGCTGTCACAGTCCGATACCTGTTGGTGTTCGTGACGAACAGGTGACTCTACCTGAGGAAGGCTCGCGCTCGCTCAACGTGCTGATCCTCTTCGGCCGCACGTGTTGACTTCCGCCTCGAGAGGGTTAACGTGGTGACGTAGGACGTAGCACGCACACGACGTGCAGCCACAGAGCGTTTTGTTTTTTATCAACAATAATAATGTTAGATTGCAGTTTCTCTTTGACTTTATTCACTTTATTTATACATTATTAAACAACTAGACACGTATTAGTACGGCGGAGTGTTAGGGACAGACGAAGAGAACTAATATTATTATTATTGTTTGGAAATGACGAGAATAAAGTCGTAATATTAATAATAATAATTAGGAATAATTGGAAAATTACTATGTAAAAAATAAAATACATTATTATTTTTCATACTCTCTTTCTTTTGTTATGTGTATGTGTTTATTGTTGTTGGTATTGGTTGGTCAAAATGATTATTTTTACTTGTATTGACATGTTTGTTTATTTAAAATTTGATCAATACAAAAACTAAATTATAATCAGAATCAGAATCGGGTTTATTGCAAAGTATGTTTTCACATACAAACAGAACATAGAGAAATATAAATAAAGACAAAAATGGAGACAATATGTAAAATATCGTCTCCATCATTAAAGATACCACACATACACACAAGTTACTTTAACAATGTAATCCCAGTTTCTAATTACCTTAGAAAATGTAACTAAGTAACTTAATCCAGGTATCACAATATTAAAGTAACTTGATTACTTTCTGTTACTTTTGGATTATATGCAAATAAATACAAGATTCAAGAGGTTTATTGTCATATGCACAGTAAGAAACACAGTGTTTATATGTACAATGAAGATCCAAGAGAAAAGAAATATCAATAAGCAGTATTGATGTGAGTGTAAGACAGACGATCAATGCATCAGAAAACAAAATGGAAACCAACATTTTTAGCAGCAGAAATGTGTTTTTCTCTGCTCAGTGTTTTTTAAAATTTATTTTAAAATTGTAATTCTGCTATTTTTACTAAATGTAACTATAGAGGATTACAGTTACCTTTTTTGTATCCTGATATACCTCAGTTACATGTAATCCCCATATAATAATGTATCCTGTTAAAATGTCATTTAAAACCGTCTCCTGCTTTGTTTCACTGTGTTTATTCCAGCTTTACAGACGAGCACTGAAGCTTTTACAACAACATGATGCGTAAATAAATGTTATTAATATCAATTAATGTCGTCAGTTGTTTATTTTACTCAGGGAAATATTGTAGTCATAACACAGAGGGGTCAAATCATTTCATTTAAGAATTTAAATACTAATAAATGTTATACCCACCAACAACCTTGAATCTATGTGTGACATTAATGCAGACATCCTTCACACTGCTAACCTTTCATTAAATAACAGTCGGATTGTCTCTCCTTCCTCTTTATGTACAGTTCTCTATGTTTATTGCTATGCACTACTACTAACTACACCGTGTGTTCAGACATAGACGTATCAGAATCAGGTTTATTGCTGATATTATGGTGCATAACAATGAAGATAGTGAGAGAAGAGACAAATAAAAAAAAACAAGTGGTGCAAAAGTCAAGAAGTGTGCAATAAGGAATATGAAGCGTGCAAATATAAAGAATAAAGAATATGTGCAATGTGCAAAGATAACCACCCAGAAATATGAGTGAGTAACACGGTGAGTCACATGAGGAGACTTTAGGGAAGATGAGACCATGAAGTATATAAATAAAGTATATATATATATATAGTTCAACCATATTATAAGCTCATATACAAACATATATAATGATGTTATTGTGTAATGTGTAGTAACTGTGCAGTTGTACAGTCAGTGCTGCGTTCAGGGTCTCACATTGTCATGCAGATGTTTCCCTCCAGCCGCCAGAGGGTTCAAGGAGGTGTGGTGTTCAGGTGTTGGAACTGCTCGGCCTCTCAATGGTAACCTGCATGAGCAGAGCGCACGCGCGCTCTTCCTCCTCGCTCCTCGTTCCGCGTGCAGCGCTTCGGTCGTTCGCGCGCGCCAAAACCAATCACGTCGGGGGCCCGATTTCCCCGTGACGTCTGTGGTTGTTGACATGACCATTAGCGCGCGCGAGCGCGTGCCGTGACGTCAGCGGGCAAGCATGCGGGGTGGGCGGGGCTGAACGCGGAGCGGGGAGTAGACAAAGGAGCAGACCAAAGCGAAGTTGTGGGAACGGGTTCACTCGAACTGATTTTCTGTCGGCTCAAAGGTTTAATTCACCTGATGGGACGCACGCACTGGATTAAATCAGGAAACATATTTCTAGCAGGTAAGGCTGTATAATAATGTCAGCCATCAACAAATAAACAATAATATATAACCCTGGGAGGGAGCAGCAGAAACGTTGAGATTTATCAGAATCAGAATCAGAATCAGGAAATACTTTAATAACTCCCAGAGGGGAAATTATTTAAAAAAGGCACGAAAACTCTCGTTTAGAGAGGACAAACTTCACAGAGTACAGTGGAGAAGAAACAAGAACAACAAAAGAGAATAAAAGCTTAAGAAATGTTAATAAAAACGCGAACTCAAAGGCTGGCCCACGCAACCCGCTAACAGCCCAAGCATGCACGCCTCCTCGGCCCACTTCAATTTATTGCATTTATCCTTTACTGGAAGTGTTTTCTAACACTGTGTTTGGGTTTTGAAAGAGAGTACAGTCGAGGAGGACTCACTGGTTGGTTTGACTAACAAACAGCTGCTTTACTTTCCCACCTCACACCAGAAGATACCAGACAGTCGGACCACAACAAAGAGCAGCCAGTAGATTATACCGATCAATGCTTCAGAAATGGATCACAGTGAAGGAATGTAAATGTGTGTATCAGCCTATTTTCTGCCAAACAGCTCCATGGTTTACAGTGTCAGTCTGTATCTCATAACCTTTTTCCCAGCATTATTAGTAGGGTAAACACAGATGTTACCAATGATTGAGGTCAAACAGAGTCAGGTTGTGGCTGTTTGCTCACTGGAAAGGCTCTGCTACACTAAATATAACGGGACCTTAATTAGTACAGCCTATCGTTTATAGCACCTGTTGTTTTACCCTACTATTTCAGGTCAAAATGGCTGCTGTGAAAAAGGATTGCTGTGAAATAAATGTCTTCTGAAGATTTCCTCTTGCGCCTCCAGTTTACGTTTGTGGTTCTGGCTCATCTGATATAACGAAGGGTCAACTGCGATCCCCATTAATGAGCTGTCCAGATCACACAGGTAGCCCGCCTAGCGTATTGATGTCTTTTTTGCTCTTAAGTGGGACCATCAGTTACATAAGAACAAGCGAAGAAGAAGACTGAACTAGACGGAGACTGAGAGCAGAAATCATCAGGAAACTGTCTTTACTGTGAGGGGATAAATCAACTGAGAAGGCGACGCTCATTTCTCCATAAGACTGAATGGTATCAGTGGTGTTATTGCAACCAGTGGAGCGCCCCCTGCTGGTTGTTACACAGAATGCTGTGTGTTATATATACAGTCAGTGACTTTAACGCACGGAGTGATCCCTCCTCTTCAACACAGACGATCTTCGGAGTCAGCCGCTCCGCCGACACGTCGGTCCGGATACTCTGCCTGGAAACACCGAAAACTAATCGGAACCAGCGGCCGACAGAGACGGACGGGTCTCACAGGATACGAGGGGGTCGACTAGGTGGGATAAAATTCATTTATGTTCCCTGACAGCAGCTCACACACACACACACACACACACTGTAGGCGGAGCTCTCTGGGTTGTAAACATGTCAGATTGTGGTTCAGTCACATAGAGGAGGCTGTTACAGACAGTGTGGTCGAGATAAGGCCCACAGGTTACACAACATACACTATTCACCTTTATTATTGATAACAGGCAGAATGAGACTCAAACAGCATTAAAAAGATGATTCATCAAAGGTTGTTGGGGTTCTCCTCCATTAATATTATTATATTTAGTGCAGTTAAAGGTTCTCAGTAGAACTTTATTCAGACCCGAGTTTCCACTTTAAATAAATAATGTAAATAGTTTATTACAAGAAAACTACACTAGCCTATATAATACTGTAATACTATATATATCAAAAATAATAAACAAATTCATTCAACAGTTGTTTTTAGTAAAATATTAAATATATAGTTATATAGTAAAAATATATAGTAAAAAAAATTAGTTCTGTCTGAGCCGAGCTACAGCATTAGTTGTGGGCCCGAACCAGGCGGGTTGTAGATAGAAACAGTCGCAGCTGCAAATAAGGACAGCAAAGCTAGATGGGTAAAAACAAACATACAAATATGTGGAATAAGACTGAACAATGAATCCAGATAAAAGGTCAAATGTGTGTATAAACAGCATTGTAATGAAGTACTGTAGTTCTGCAGAGCTGCCCTGACCTACAAGTGATTCCCACGCTAATCATGAATCATATCACAATATCTGTCAGAATAATAATGTGTTTGTAACACATCGTGCAGCAGTAATAACCAACAACATAGAAGTCAAGCTTCTGTGTAAGTGAAGCTGACTCAGGATGAATGAGACAAACTCACTCTCACCTCAACTGAATCAATAATGCAGATAGACTGTAATTAATCTGCTGGGGAGACTTTATTTATCTTAATTATTTCCTGAAGCTCATTCATGGCAGAAGTGCTTCATTTACTGACAGAAAGCAAACACAAAATAAACCTTCAGTGTGTGTGTGGATGGGGGTCGTCTCCTGTAGGAATCAAACTAGCAACCCTTCATCAGTAGAGAATAGAAAGCGAACGGACAGAGCAGCTGAACCCTGCAGCTGCACACTGAGGCTCCCCTCAGAGGGGAGAGACAGATCCAGTTTACTCCGAAGCGAAGAGGGCAGCGCTGGAGATAAGAAGGCAAAAAAAACAAAACAATATCTGAGAGAAAGAAAGAAGGGAGCTATATTTAGCCCGGCTTTCTCTCCGGCTGTGACAGCTGGGGAGGGGAAGCGAGGCGACTGCACTGAATGCTGATGGAGACGCTCTTAAGTTCATGAATGAAGCATGTGTAGCTCAGATGAACTTGTTACGCTGCTCGCCTGTTACATTGCTCAGGGTTTCATTTGGAAGGAAAAAGAATTCCTAAACATTCAGATAATATCAAGTTAATGTTAAGATTGGGTTCTCAATCATCTTCATTTTAGGGGAGGACGTGGTTTTTATTTTCATTCCCTTTCATTGTGTGATGGAAGCCCAAAGTGTCCTGTAGGAACTGAGTGAAGCTTATTCTGTTCAAAAGATTCGGACCATCAAATACGTCTTGTGCACTTGGTACGTTTAAACATGTGTAGAGATCTAAACGGGTTAAACCCGGTAGGTTTTAAGAGGTTTTATACATCGAGATCATTTCTATAAAATCCACACCAGGCTTTTAAAGGAGACCTGCATCTATTTGGGACCTATTATTGGAAGTTAGCTCAACCTTAATCCAAAAACATTATGTATAATAGTAAAACACTGACATTTTGCTATAATACTTCCATGCTTTTACTTTAGTAAGGTTTAAAATGAAGGACTTTTACTTGTGGAGTATTTTCAAACTGAGGTTGTTATAAGTACTTTTGCTTAAAGGACCAGTGAGGAGGATTTAGTGGCATCTAGTGGTGAAGTTGCAGAGTGTAACCAACTGAAACTCAAATAGGTCTTGTGCACTTGTGACAACCCCATTGTGGGCTCGGTGAGCTTTAATGAATGTGACAACCAACCCTGCGCTCCCCTATCTTAACGTCCGTCCAACAGAAGCTGCTCGTCTGATGTTATATTTAGGTCTGGAGTAAAGGTTGGCACCATAATCAACTTTTATGTGAGAATTATCACAAGTTATTGCTTTGTGGTTCAGCCAGAGACCCACAGCCGTAACACATTTGTGAGGCAGTTAATCTCTCATTTCGAAAGGCGTGCTCCCTGTTTTACTGCCACCCATTACTTCTACTAGCAGATTGACACACTGGTTACAATCTCCATTTGTCACTGTGCTGTGAATAAAATCAGTCTGGGGAGTGTGAAAATATTCAGCAGCATTTTGTTCCTGTTTATTTCAGAATCGTGGCAGAAACACGCCGACAGCCCACCAGCTCGTGGCTCCTGTATCTGGGACTGCAGGCTGTGTATAAAGGGTTCAGCTGATTCATTTCTTCAGATTAAATGGAGACTTTCTTCATATTAACAGGGAACATGAAGATAAAACACCACATGATGAAAGCAAGTTAACGTTACATTAAAGTCCTCATTCTGTAAGACAGAAGGCAGACGTGTGCTGACAGCAGGTTGATGGCTAATGAGTTAGCTAAATGGTTCCCTATGTTACGCCACCGGCCAAAGGTGGCCCAAATGTAAATCTATGTAAACAACAAGTTGATATAGAAAATATATATATCCTAATATACATAAATCATTCTCTAAAATAACATGTAAATTCTAAAACAGTTCAAATAAATGATGATCTAATAGAATATGATGCATTGCTGTAGATTAAACTACCCAACAGTAGATCCATTAGCTCATCCTTAATCCAAAAACATTATATATAATAGTAAAACACTGACATTTTGCTATAATACTTCCATACTTTTACTTTAGTAAGGTTTCAAATGAAGGACTTTTATTTATTTACGTATTTTTTACAGTGTGGTATTGGTCGCAGTGATATCAGAATTCTTTTTGCACCACTGAAAGTTGACAGAAATCGATGATAATTTAAATAATGAATCATTTCCTTTAAATAATTCATTAAATATAAATGCCAAATGTATATTCCAGCTTCTCCAATGTGAAGATTTGCAGTGTTTTTAATGTCACATAATCTCTGTGGGTTGTTCAGACTAAATAATCCGTTGCCGTCTGAAAGCTGGTGACATTTGTCTTCATTTTCTGACATTTTGTTCTCTGTACAAATGAGTTGCCGCCCTGTCGGACTGGTGCTGCTGGGCTCTTCTCATCTTGGTGTTTCTGTTTGTCCTGAGTCCTTTGAGTCTTGTGTAATTTCCCAGCATGCATTACAGACAGACCACCGGGAAAGCTCTCTCAGCTCACACACAGCGATGATGTAAAGTGTTAATCAGAGTAAGATGATCCCATCAGTTGTGTCTGATTGAGTTGTGTTTGATTGGATTGGCGTCCTGGACGGATCATTCTGGAATGGATTAGAGATGTCCGAGCTGATAACCCAGAGCGGCTGTGATCTCTCTTCCTCCTCCTCTCTATCTGCATCTCTTTCTCTCTATCAAGCTCTTTCTATCTTTGTCCACTCAGTGAGTCAAACAGATTGTCTGTCCTTTGACTCCTCTTCAGGTAGACTTTTTCCAGATCTGGTCCTCGGGTCCAGACTCACAGTATATGTCATGTGTTCTTCTTTGTGTCTTATTTCTGTCAACAAATCCCATAAAAAGACCAGAACCAACAATAAGGCGTTGGCCTGGTTCTCGCAGTACCTCCCTATCCTCTCTGTGGGACTGGATTATTAAACTGCTGCCTGTATAAACTATTAAAAACAGTCAACCCGGATGCATTTACCTGTGTATCTTCGCTCAGGTGTGACTCGCTGTGTTGGTGATGATGGGAGGAGAGCAGAGCCATGAGAGGAAGGAGAGTAAAGAGGAGACTGAAACACCTGAAGAATCTGTCGGCACTGACAGCTCCGGATCGGCTGCTTCTGAAGGTACAAACACCCAAATTCATCATTCATTATTCAATACTGTATAAATAATCTACTCATTAGTTCCATTTTACTACTTTAAACTTCTACTGCACTACATTTAAGACAGAAATATTTTACTTTTTAACTTCACTGCATTTATCTGACAGCCATCTTCTTCATATATATGATATTAAAATACATCACATTGCTGAAGATAAATCCAGTGGTTCTTAACCTTTTTGGCTTTAAAAAACCGTGTCTAGGAATCTATGATGCAGGACTTTTAATTTTCTTTACATTAATGCTTTGGTACTTTTGCTTAAATTGTAACTAAACCCCTAGATTGTGCTACTTGCACTAGTAAATATCTATATATAGAGAGTTTCAGCAGGAGAAAGTGGTTTGGGGGAGTAAAGGATTTGAATGGGCCACTTCTACAAAATATATACATAATAATAAATGAATACACTGACTGTATATAAAGATGGACGACGACCTCGATACAGCGGCGTCAACCTCACTCACTACAGCACAGACTCTGGCCCCGAATGTCTCCACTTTAAGATATTCTAGCTTCATTACTGTACAGGAAGAGGAGTCGTCCATCTTTATACATAGAGCATGTTTTAATACGACTGAGCTGCAATAAAATAAATAAAATCACACAAACTGCTGCATTTGACTCACACAGACACCCCAGGAGAGCTGCCCCAGTGCAAGATGGGAAACAAGAAGGTGGACAACATGTGCTTCATGATCTCTTGCACCAACTGGTACTAAACTGGTCCTGGTACAGGTGCAGGTTGAGGAAACAGGAGGTGTTCATGTGAGCAGAACTCTGGTGGAGAGCGTGGAGTCACTACTGGGTCAGACGCTGCATTCATGAACCCATCGAAAATCTGAAAACATAGCTGACGCTGAAGTCCAATGTGCTTGTTGCTGTGCTCCACTGCTGCTCTTAAGAGGAAGATGCCGTAGTGTTAATGAGCTTGTGTGTCTAAAGTTTGGATGAGATACCTGTTTTACAGCTCAGTTAATGTCAAATGGATGAGTTCTGTATTGAACTGTTTCTAGCTACATTCAGTGTTACCTTTAAATGAAATAGTGTTGCTTTAGTGTAACTACTGTAAGTGAAGGAGACCACAGATGATTAGCTTCTGTCAAATGATGACATCATGCTAATAGAGGCTAAAGCTAACAGGCACGAGGTTATGTGTGTGTTGCTAAAGCTAAAAAATCTACAGATTTGATCCGTCTGAATGTTTCTCTTCATGCTTTGGATGGCAGAAGTACAGACTAATATTTGGTCGGTTTATGGTTGAAATCCCTCCGCTGACAGTTTGCTGCATTAGTGAGGTTTGAATTTGAATCAGTTGTTTTAACAGTACTGGCTGAAATAAAGAGGTTTGATATTTGCATTTGTGTCTCATTATTTTTAAAGATTTAAAATCATCACAACTGATTTATACTATTTTATTGTTGATATATAAGTGTTGAAGACACACTGGAGTTTTTATTGTAAATAAATGTTTTAACAGTAAAATAATCACAGAATATAAGACCTGGCTTGTAGTTTGTGTTAACAACGTCAAACGGTCCTCTTTACAATGTGTACCTCACTGCACTCAGATATATCACCGTCACCACATAAAGTGCAGTAGATGTTGTCTTCAGAACTTTGCCCATACATGAAGATAACTAGTTGAATCTGGAGCAGGTCCACGCCTCAATAATGGTGATAATGCAACTATACACTGGTTGGCCAACTGCCATTATAACTCAGACAGCAGAAAAAAACAAATCAGACTAAGAGGAGGACAGGCTGGCTCTGAGGGAGGAAGAGGAGCAGAAGAGTCAGA